AATTTTATAATTATATAATCCGCTGTTTATAATAACTGGTGTATAGCCAACCCTCTCGGTTTAATTTATTTGAATTACTATCATCTATTTTTTTTTTTAATTCGTACATTTTTAATGGCGATTTTCATTTCCCATATTAATAGCGGCGTCTAGACTATACAGCTGGGAATACTATCATTTATTAAAAAAACTAATAATAATTCATCGAAGTCGTGTCGTTAGAGTTTTTTCCTTTAATCCTGAATAAATAATAAACCTTAGCCAATGTACGATTCGCGGCCACCGTCGCATACAATTCCAAAGTTCGATATTTATAATTAAAGCGTCCCTGCGTTCCGCCTAATTACATGTTGCCGCTAACGTTGACTGGTATTGTATGTATGTATATATATATATATATTTAGTTTATATACTGTTTTTCCATTTCCAGGTCAGGTCTCCACTCCGCCATTGACACAATATATAGGGTGATCCATTTAACATAAGTAACTAGTTTTTTTTGAAAATAACTGCAGTTATGTAGTCATGTTACTACTTCTTTATTTTTAATAAACCAAAATATCTATCTCAAGATAAGATAAAATAAGTAAGGACAGTATCGAATTCCCTTAAAACTGCTATAAAATCGGCTTCTCATATACCTATAGACTTATGATTAATGAATAAAATATTATTAAAATTCTTAATTTAGGCTTTTGCCGCCATGCAGTGGTTTTTATTTGTATTGTAATTTAACGTTCACTCCCTCCTAGCTATGACGCCGCCCCCAGTATAAAAAAAATACTTGCTCCCCAATTATATTTTTTCAAATTTTGACATTGAGGTCTTACCAACTACACAGTTACCTATTGGTTGATTGGTCGAAAACATTTTTTTATGAATAATTACTCTTAAAGTTATTTGAAGAGTAGGCGGTAGTAGAGCGATGTTTCCCGTCCTACCAACGTTTTCAAATTCTAAATCTCAAAAAGTGCAAAGTGTTAATCCGACAATAATGCAATTGTTTTCCAAGAAAATAACTAGCTTTAGGCTTACATTAACTGAATCACCCTGTGTTCATATGTATAAATCATTATAAATTATAAACTATTTTATTAGGGCGGGTGGCGCAAAACTATATAGTAAATTCTGCGTGTGTTATGACGTATTATTCAATGTTGTCGAAAAGAAAAACGAGTTAGAAAATTAAAAAAAGAAACTTAATTTCCAGTATGGCCTTCGTGCTCGCACACACACACACACATACCCCAACACCTACACTTGATATTATAGAAACCGTTTTTGGTCGCAAACGTCAAATAATTTATTTTATTGTTAAGTATAAGTATTAAAGTATAATATTATTATATAATAATATATATATATTTACGATATCGACAACGGGCATATTAATAGTGGTCGGACCAACGACACTTGATGGTTTATGGGCGTCGTAAAAATTCTTTGACCTTACGTGCCAACACATCATGATTAACCCTACTTGGGCCGTTTTGAAAATGACATTTAGATCGTCTGCGTATAGTAGTATAATAATAATTGCCGTCGTCTCCGTATGGGTAAAACGTGCGTGCATTTTGGCCGATATAATATATATATATATATATATAATGATGTAAAGGTTATATGCGCAATTTCATATGTACATGATTCATCGCGACGCTGCGCTGTGCGCTTCCCCTTTTGGAAAACGTTTTGGCAAGAAAAAAAGTTTTTCGAAAAGTCATCATCGGACATCGTTTGCACGATGCTATCAATATTATTATTATTATTGTATGTATACAATAAATTATACCAACGTAATCCGATTGTCAACGCAATAACCCCGTATCCCCACCTTTTGTACTTTGTCATCGTTTATTTATGATGAGTGCTTCTCTCGGGGAGCACTCATCAAGCTTAACGGTAAAATCGTTGCGCACAAGAAGACGCTGAAGTAAATATTGGTATGGTTTAATGAATAACATGGCCTAGCCTAAAATATTAATGAAATTGCTTTAATGTCAGCTATAGTTATCGCTTTAGTAAATAAACTTGTAATTAAACTGTTTATTGAAATTTAATAGACTAGTCACGGACACTTTAATGATGCTTAAAGAACGACTTTGTGCCTTATTGGGTCTTGTGAAAATTTGGATTTAATCTTAGTTAAAACCTTCAAATTTAATTATGTACAACTATAATATTTGTCTTTATAATGATGATAGTAAAATATTTATAAACTCGATATCAATAATTCTTTCTTCAAATCGCAATATTGTGAATTTTGTCTGTTTTGGTTGTGTTTTTTTAAAGTACTATAACATTCATAATTCACCACACGGATGGTGGTTGATTTTCAGCGTTGAAGACTTCTTATATTATGCTAGCGTGATGTATCTACTTAAAATTTGTATGATTTTTATCTGTCGATTTGTAAATTAAATTAAATAAATTGGTGTATTTTGGTTATACAGAGTGATCATTTTATCGTGAACCATTTAATATCTCATATAGCGTTTAATAAGAAATTACATTTTTTTTTATATAGCTTTTGTACAATGTTATCTCAGGACTCAGTTTTTCACAATTTTTGTTTGTTTTTCCCTCCTCTTAACTTAGTTTTGTTTTAACTTTTGAAACTTAAATGGTAACGCACACATTTTATAATTATTTTTAATTAAGAATACTGTACTAAAAATGTTGACTGGTCGATAACCAGTTTTGAACAACCGTTTTTAAAGTTCTACGAGTTTAAAAGTTAGTATGGGAGGGGAAGTGTATGCAGATAAAAATAATACTACAAATTAAAAAATTAAAATCTGAAAATAAAATTTCCTATTAAACCTTATGAGATATTGAATGGTACACGATAAAATGGTCACTCTGTTTAATAGTGTAACAGTTGAAATAGTGTAGTAGTGGGATAACATTAATGTTGATAGCTTTTAATTAGAGATTGGTATTGCATGCACGCAAGAGACGCAACACAATAATCATACTTTGTTTCTATTAAACGGGTTTCCATTCATTTTAAACGAGTACTCTTAAGTCTTATAGTCGATAATACTTTGCCAATTAACAACACTGCATCGCAGGTGTATGCGTTTTTGTTTAAATTTAACGTCGCAAGCTTCTGTATTGTGTTATTGTTAGCTATTATTCAAAGAAAAAAATAAGCCATGTATAATTATTTTATGGTTTGCACTTTGCAGGCATTGTTAAAACGTGTAATTAAATATATTAATAATAATCAAAGGGGTATTTATTTTTATTTTTATGGATGATGATTGTATAGAAGACAGGGGTCGTTTTACCGCAAAGAGGTCTTTTGTTTGTCGTACTTTTTTTTTATTATTATTTTTTTTTTTTAGAGTCGTCTGCTAAGTGTTAAACAAAAGGACACCATCACAATAATAACGGCGGCGGTGGAAGGGCGTACACACAATTCTTATTCGCCATATGTGTATGGCCCGTGTATAATAATTACACATGTACCTACTGTCTAATTAGTCATTACCGGGCTGCTGGGGATTATAACAATGAGAACACATAAACAGTCGCGTCGTCCCCTCTACATGCACCTGCGGGTACTTAATAAAAATTAACCATGCCACCGAAGACAACCATGCTCGTGCGCTGTGTTTCTTTGCCTTTAGTTTAGATGTAAATACAATAATAATAACAATTCGTACTCGGTAAGTGCAGCGTATTACAATTGACAGAATTATAGTACAAGAACACGCTAGTCACGACCTTTAATTTGAAAAACTTTACTCTGTATTATATAATATTATTTCACATTAACGTTAATAATTTATGAGGGGTCCATTCTAAAATACGTAAATTCGTATAGTTGATTAATACCATATTATAGTTTTTACATTTTATCATGAGTACACTGTCGTTACGAGGACTCTTCTTTTGTGGAGGCATTGATGGGTCTAAAATGGGCCGTTAAGTTCATAAAATAAATTGTTTAGGCATGTCAAATTTAAAATATGCATAAATGTAGAAAAAATAAACATGAAAAAAAACTGTTTAAATAATAAAATAAAGTTTAAATTTATAACACTTCTATTTAAAAATGCATCAATATATTTTTAATAATAAAGATTAATTTTTATTATATACTGTACTGTTGTCTTTCGTTTAGTGTATGTATCCTTAGTTATATTTTTGTAGTTAATTTAAAAATTACTGTGTAATTTATTTCACTTAAGAAAAATCGTGTAAATTACAATTTGTAAAATAAAAAGGTTGCTCAAATTTGGATACCCTAAATGTCATAAGGCCAACATTCAGAAATAAACAAATATTTACTCCAGAGATATATTATCGTTAACATTATATAACACATAACCAAGATCATAATTTTATTATTTTTTTCAAATTATTGGTCATAACATTGTAGTTTATTTACTTGTGAACCTTTTTACAGTTGTAGCTATATTAAACATGTTGTATTAAATATGTCGCTGTTGCAATAATACCAAAGCTCAAATGTACAGCACCTATTTTGTATATTATGTTTGTACGCGTGTACATATGTATAAACTTTAAAGTAATTCAAAAAGCGTATACTGAGCTGGCTTTAAAGTGTGCTGACTCGTTATATTAACTTTCACACTAAGGTCGAAGTCGTTTTACATGGAATTGATGGAATGTTGGTATTTTCGGCTATATTATTGTCATACATTGAAGTTGCCCCAAAAAAAAGCTACAGTCTAAAAAAATTTAATTTAAAAACAAACGTGCCTTTCCTTTGAAATATAGGACATACCTATACGAATAAAGTTTTAACCGAGGGTGTTGATAAAAGGAATAGTTTCAACTGATAAAAGGCTCAATAGCTAAAAACACATAATTTGAAGCAAAAAAACGCAATCAATTTTAATTCGAAGCGTGCGCATAATATTACTTTGTTGGAGTTGTATTGTATTATATTATAAACCTTCTATCAACTGAACCTTTCTTATAATATAAGGTTCATTTAAATGTCACCTATGTCGTTTTCATTGCAGTGGTACAGGGTGGACAAAGAGGACTTGAAACAAGAAGTGTTTGAGAAGTTCATAGAAATGGCGCCGGACACGGACACCGAACGATTTCTGGTCGATTCGACGGAGCAAAGCGACAGGCTTTTTACTCAGATCTGGCAATCAGCAGTGTCGTCCGTGTTAAACGCGTTCATGACGAAGACTTCGATTAACGGGTAAGTCCGCATTTGGTTTACCATTGGCCCAGCCTCCTTCGGGCGGCCGTCGCCGATTGGACGTTTACTGCTTGGGTACATTTTTTCTTTATCTCTTTGTTTTTTATTTTATATCGTTTTAAGTAATTAAACTTCTTGTCCGCCGACCGGTCGGTATAAGACCGTCTTGGACTGTTGACCATCGTCTCGTCTCTCATGCATATTGCATGTCGCGTATGTCAACCGGCGGTGACGGTCACACACACACACACACACACACACACACAAAAACGCGAATCCGTGGGATTTTTTTTTATTTTTTTGCTCAAGTGCGCGAAAATATTCAGTCCGGTTCTGAGGTTGTCCATTCATGTGGTTGTCATTCCACCGTGGCCGATGCTTCAACTCGAATGTTAATCCGATGTACATTAATTGTCGCCAACTCTATACTGAAGAAACAAAACGAATTCGCCGTTTATCATGACATTCCTTTCATTGAGTTTTGTCAGGTACACTTCAGCTAGCACAAACACAAATAGCCTCAAATGTATGGGGATCTCACCCCCTCCCCTCTTACTTCCCGTTTATCCAACATAGCTAAACTTAGAAGAAAAATTAAATGGAATTACAATATAAAGAATGAATATGTAACAGATAGGAAGTTCAGTTATGGTATCTATTTTTGAGAAGATGATAAAGTTGCTCAATCGATTGAGAAGCCGAAAGGTCGGTAAAGAAAGTGAAGGCCAAGAAAGACAGCGAATGTCTTTATGAAGGATGTGACAGTGTCATGTGTGGCACAAATCGTTTTGACCGGTGTTTATAAGGAATAAGGCTAGGGTGGATGCCCGACCTCAGATAGGTGGGAGAAGAGAAGAAGTAAAAGAAATAGAGACTTGAAAGAAGTATGAAAGCGATCCGAACCTCTCTGCAGTTTGTGCCAATGTATAGTAATGAGTCCAACTTTAAACGAAGGGTTGTACGCGACACTTGTGAATTTTTATATTAAGGGCGATATTCACAAACATGGTATCGCCAAAATTTCGAACACTGATAAAATACATTAATTTCATATTTTATCTATGGCTATAATTGTAACTAGTTTGAAACTTGAAATTGAAAACTTTTTCTTTTTAATACTTATGTTATCAAAATCAGCCATGGAATTTCAGCCATTTCACGTTTTAGAATAAGACAATTGTTAGTCTATTAATAAATTTGACTATTTCCATTTTCTAAGATATATATATAATATTATACTTTTTCTTGACCTAACCATGTATAAGAAAAGCATAATGAAAAGTTAGATGTGTTTCCTATGTAAAAACATGTTTTATAGACTATAGACAACGGCGACACAATACGTGCCATTCAAGTACTGAGTAAATATAATTTATGAAAAAATATATTTTTTTAATGTTATTGCAGAGCATTAGGACTAATTTAAGCGTCGGCTAGACCATGTAGTGCTGTATATATATATATATAGTCATAAAATAAAAATCGAAACGACCGGCGTGTTTGTGAAATTCAACCTTCACTACCACCCCTACCCAAGTACTCACTGTCCCTCCCTCACTCGTCCGCCATACCGCCTTATATACCTGTGTATAGTACATAAGATAGACTCGAGTTACTGTTTCGTCTTTAAAAATTCCGGGGTTAATTACCTGCGCGTGTGCAAACACACAATACTCCTCCCCCTTCCACTGTATAATATTATATTCTGTACAGCGAATAGCCGGCGGGGGGATTGGAGGACGGTTCGGAGAGATAGTCGGGGGGTGTGAGCGGGTTGTGTGAAGGCTCTTAATGCACCCCCGAGGAACCGGCGGAGGTTTAATGTGTCGAGATAATATTGTTGGCATCGATTCCCATTAGCGGCCGGGGGTACATGGAGTATAAATAGAAAAATAACTTAGCCTTCCCCTCTGCGTCTTTCCCCCTCCCCCCCCCGCCTAACCACTTAATTCTTCGCGTTCACTCTCTATACGTCTATAACAGGGCTCGGGGGGTAAGCTTCGGTGGTTTTTCTTTTACAATGCACGAGCGGCGTTTATGGCCGCAAACGGTAAATCCGTGTATTAAAAACGCCGGCACCGCAAAGGGTATAAAATATAATCTCGCTAATGATATTTTGATTACGCCCACGGCCTTACTGCCGTTATGCGGTGTGTGTGTGTGTGTGTGGATAAAAATTCACATTTTCATCACAAAAGACCGGTATGAGTATAAATACATGTGTGCGCACGCACTAGAATAAGAGTAAAAAGGAACAGCTCTATAATATGAGAACGCACCCATATCATCATCTTCAACCGGTGAAAAAGATATGAAAAATGTTAAATAAAAGGAAACGCTATTATTTCCCTCGCACGCGCATCTCTATATTTTTATATTTTTTTTTACCCTTCGGGTCATGCCGCGTTTTATATTTTTTAAGTTTCACCCCGGGCGCATAATGTATATTTTAGTAGTATACTAATCGTATGCATTGTATTGCTGTGATATGGGTGTACATGTGGCGAAAGGTGCGATAACCCAGGTCTTGTGTAATATTTATTCATATTGAGTATTATCACGCAACTTTCGGTCGAACGAAACTAGAGAAATAATAATTATTCATATTATAATGTCACTTGTAGTAAATATAATCTATTTTCTACCCTGTAGGCCAAAAATAAAATCCACGAATAAAGTTTATTTACAGAGATCGGATTTTGACGTTGTAAAATGATGTATATTTTGTTTTAAATTTTAAAGAAATCATGTTTTAAATGGAAAAATTACATTGGAAAAAAATGATCAACAAATTGTATGTGTAATATCATGAACATGGGGTACGTTTTAAATTTGTGTATCCTCTATGAAACGATTAGAAAGTTTTGTATCAAAATGTCATATTTTTACATGACTTTTAAGTATTTGAGAGGATCTAGGCTCCCCAAATACTCCACCTCACTTAATTACGATTGTAATTACAACTAGAACTTGAAATGTATGAAATCTGAAACACGTGCACTCGTTCAATTGATAAGATTAACCTCCAATTATTAACAATTTAATTCATTTTTTATTTAAAATTAAAATGTATTCGTACATACAAATTAATTCACATAAACAACATGATTTTATAGTCGAATTGTACCTATTCGTGTGTATGGTCCGCTATATCAAGTCGGGAACTTACTTTACTTGCAGTACATTAAATACGTTTAAATGTATATTTTTCAACTAGGTCGGTGTAATAATACATATGTATCTATGCTTTTTATTGCTTCATTCGCAATAACAAGTAGAATTATGTATGAATATAAGACGCCCGGTTGCATTTTCAACAATGCGGCTACACTGTCGCTACTGGTGGTTTCTCTTGTACGAGTTCATATCGTTCAGCGGTTAAAGTCTAGTGTAATCTGTTATGTACTATGCCTAGTCTGGCATAATTATGAATTTTCAACAACATTATATTCATAAAAAGGAAAAATATTTTATTCATTTAAAAAATAACATTTTTATGTTGTAACGAATTATACGATTACAATAAAAAGAAATGAGCATTATACGTTTTACAAAATATACAATTTTAGGTTTTTACAAAATCGGGGCTTAAAAAAATGTTATAATTGAAACGTTTAAAACAACAAATATCGTTAAAACATAATTAACGAACACCGAATGTGTCAATTAATAAAATACACGTTGTACCAAATTATGCATTGCTTACAGATGAAATGGAAAAATAAAAAAATATTAAAAATTTTATCGGTACATTGTTTCTTTTTATCAGTAATATTTTGTCATAAAAAACATTGACGTGTGGATGTACAATGTTAAATAATTTTGTAACAACGTTAAACAGTAATTTTTCCTGGGTTTTATTTATCCATTGCAGTAAAACTAACAGGTTTTTATATCCAGACCAATAAATATTATATTGGTCGTTTGTATTGATGTAGATTTTGTCAAATCAAACGCAATTTTTATAGGATTTACCGAGAGATACATTATATACTATTATAATATAAAATAGTTCACAGTTTGTAGTATAAAAATTGCATGTCTCATCCATACCCGGTTAAAGTCTTTCTTGGTATGTGTACAGGCCTATATTGAAGGAGGTGTAAAAAATCCCCAAAGATTTTAGGTGCTCATTGAGTTGACAGTCAAAAGTCATGTTGTAGTTAGTTAACCAAAATTTTAACTTGGAAAAACTAGTTTTATTTGTTTGTTTCTATAAAAAAAAAAAGGATTTTTGCATCATGTTTCTCATGCAAAATTGTTTATATATACTAAACAAGTTAGTGGGATTCAGGCTGGAGTTAATTTTAAAATTTAGTTTAATGCGGTGGTACAAAAGTCTTGCAAAGTTAACGCTTTAACTTTTACCCACTACTCGTCAGAGTAAAATTATTTATCAAGTCAATTTTTGTCGGGGTTGACATCTGCTGTGCTGTGTATAATTCGTCTGGCATAGTACGTATTATAAATACCTATACACATGTGTACAGCCGTAGCGATTGTGTGTAGGTATATGGGATATACTTGTCGGACGTTATTATAGTTGATTAAATTAAAAAAAAAAAAAAAAAGCAACCTAAGAGTTTGGTTGATTAATGATGATGACGCGTTCAGAATCGTCGGCTTCCTGGCCGGTAGCAACGATCTTTATTTTAGTGCGTAGACACGGTAGACCCAAGCATCCGATACGTACACACTCCATTGTCTCTACACAGAATACTATGTAGTATGTACCAAGTCTCTCCGCTGTCTGTGCCGTTCGGTCATTAAACAACCGGAGGCCCGATGATTACTATACAATGCCTTAATTATTTCCTACCAGAAGATCCTGTGTGAATCGAGAGATGCCTCTTTCCCTACCGACCACCTCTCCTTCATAATATAATATATATTTATATAGGATATCTTTTCACCGCGCGTTGTGTATCGCATCGTATCGAAACGATATTTCGTTCATTCATTCATTCATTCATTATTTTATTTTTTTTTTTTTTTCATTA